TTTAGTGACAGTTTGTAATGATATTCCTGCACTATAGTACCAGTCCTGCTTCTAATGTAGGCTATAAAACACATATCATTTCTTTATGGTTGCACTATGGCCAACTAAAACAAGTAAATCTGCTCTTTAAATGCTTTAATGAAATGCACATGACAAAACACATAAAAACAATAACGAGTAGGAATGTGCTGTTGTTTTTAACGTTTTTAAAACAAGTTATAATATAGCAATAAACAGAAGTTAGGTAGTGTTTCCTAATGCTGTGATCCTTATTGAGGAGAGGGTGGCCTCTAGTGGTGAGGTCGTGTTATAGCAGGCTCAGTTATTTGGGTTAAAAGGTGTTCCTTTACAAACAGCTATTACTGAAAATTGTGTTTCTCGGGTATCGGTTGCAATCGTCTTTGTTCCCACCTCTTTTTTCTGTGCAATTCTGTGATTAGTAGACTAGTAGATTAGTAGATCTGCTAAAGCTTAATTCTGATTGGTTGCGCGCTGTGATTGTAAGGCGCCTTTTGATTGGCTGAGATTGTCAATGGGCTCGCAGTGCAGTGAGTTGTTACTTTGTTTCTTGAACACAGAGTGTAAGCTTTGCTTTGATTTACACTTTGATTATAAGTAAGTTTGTTCGGCTGCTACTTTTCATCGTACTGTCTGCATGCAGGCGTCCTTGTGTGGGGTGAGTTCTTTACTGATTCAAAACACTGAAAAGTGTTCTTGGTCTGCTTTTCCCCTTTAAAAGTTACGCTTGTAGCGCTATTCTGTATTTCACTTGCCTCTTTGATTTACAGTAGGTTTATGCATGCTAGTAAGTCATTCCGCACATTGGTTCTTGTTATGTTGCCTGTGATGTGCATTGCTTGGTTTGACCCAATAACTATTGTGAACATTAACGAAGACTTAATGATCTTCTCCTCCTGATTGAGAAGTGTGCTGGACCAATCAAGACCTTCAGCGGTCTCACCGTCATCAGTGCTGATTGTTGCTGGAGCTTTGATTTGTTTTGGGGATTGGACTGAGGTGCTTTTTGCTCAGTGAAGCTGATCTGATCTTCATACAGTCTCATATATTCCAGGAGCCCAATGGAGCTGGAGGGTCAGTGGTGGAAAGGAGAACTTGCAGAGGACATCTATCAGGCCCTGCGTTACAAAGTTTGTATTCCTGTTATTGTGTTATTATTTGGTGCCACCGACCTTATGTTATAATGTCATGCATGCAGGCACAATGAACCTTGCACAAATCTATTATTACGTAATTGCCATAGTAGTGGAATTGTCTATTTGTTTTTTGCATACATAGGCAACTTTACCGAATTCATGTAAATGCAACTTGAATGGATGCATATGCAAGATTAGTGAATTCATGTAAATGCACTTGAATGCATGCATATGCAACTGTTCTGAAATAATGTAAATGCATTTGAATGCATGCATATTCAACTGTTCTGAATTCATGCATATGCATGCATTCAAGTTGCATTTACATGAATTCACTAATCTTGCATATGCATCCATTCAAGTTGCATTTACTGTACATGAATTCCGTAAAGTTGCATATGCATGCATTCAAGTTGTATTTACATGAATTTACTAATCTTGCACATGCATGCATTCAGGTTACATTTACTACTGAATTCATGTAAATGCAGCTTAATACTTGCATATGCAACTGTACTGAGTTCACGTAAATGCAACTTGATTGCATGCATGTGCAACTTTACTTGGCTATTGCATGCATGTGCAACTTATTATTGCATGAATCAGTATTATAAAACATATTAATTGCAGTGTGGTTGTCTCGTTGGATGTCCTTCAGGAGCTGCGCTTGCCTGTGTACAAAGGCCAGTCTCCACAGCTGAGTCTTAGACGATATTTCGCAGACCTTATTGCTATAGTCAGCAACCGGTTCAAGCTGTGCCCTGCGGCCAGACACTTGGCTGTTTATCTGCTGGACCTGTTCATGGACTGCTATGACATCTCAGTACAGCAGCTTCACATGGTTGCGCTGTCCTGCTTGCTTTTGGCCAGTAAGAGTCATACTCCTATTATTTATTGAAACATAATTCCTGCTCTTATTGTGTATGATGCACAAAGCACACCACAAAACATTTTGCCATAACCACTCAGCAACCATTGTTTTTAATCCAGGTAAGTTTGAGGAGAGAGAAGACCGCGTTCCGAAGCTGGAGACCCTGAACAGTCTGGGCTGCATGAGCTCTATGAACCTGGTTCTGACCAAACAGGGTCTCCTGCACATGGAGCTGCTGCTCCTCGAGACGTTTCAGTGGAACCTGTACCTCCCCACAGCTGCTCACTTCATAGAGTACTACCTGCCGGTCGCCGTGAATGAGACGGACCTACATGACGGCTGGCCAATGGTATGCATGGAGAAGACCACGCTGTACATGTCCAAATATGCTGACTACTTCTTAGAGGTCTCTTTACAAGGTGCAGAGTTTAATTCAGATGCAGTGCATTTTCACCTGTTGAATGTTGGTGTGAGTGTATAAGAACTGCATGATATACAAAATAAGAATGTTTTTCAAAAAAAAAAACATTTCCTTTCTCCGTCAAGACCATGCATTTCTGCGATTCGTCCCGTCCCTGATTGCTGCGGCGTGTGTGGCCTCCTCACGGGTAATCTTGCATTTGTGTCCGGCCTGGCCTCCGTGCCTCCAGTGTCTGTCAGCGTACACCTGGGAGCAGCTGCTGCCCTGCGTGGAGAGACTTCTAATGTGAGTTTCACCCAGAGTTGTTATCCTTAACGGAAAGCCATACAAATGGAATGCATGTAAATACAGTTTGAATGCATGCATGTACAACTTTACTGAATACATATAAATGCAGCTTGAATAGATGCTTACTGAATGCGTTCAATTTGCATTTACAGTACATGCATTCAATAAAGTTGCATAAGCATTCATTCAAGTTGCATTTACATATATTCAGTAAAATTGTATATGCATACATTGTATTACAAGTATTACATTTACTTGCATACAGTAAAGATGTAAATGCATGCATTTAAGTTGTATTTCCATCTTTACTGAATGCATGTAAATGCAACTTTATTGATGCATATGTATACAAACTCTTCAGAATGCATGTGAATGCAACTTGAATTGATGCATATGCAACTTTACTGCATGCATTTCAGCATTTTTTTGTTACTTGAAATAAAATAAACATTAATTTGATTAAAATACAACTTTATTTCAGCTAGTTGCAAAGGCGTCATTTCTCATTTTTATTCAGTTTCACTTTAAGTACCAAAATAACTCAAACTGAAAATAATGTGTTATAGTTTAATGGTAATTTTGACGCTGCAAACATGGACATCATTATCGCCCCTGATATCCTCTCCCTCCCTCTCTTTCTCAGTGCTCATGACAGTGACGTAAAGGAAGCAAACAAGCAGAAATGCCCGAAGCCGAGTGCTCAGCCTGCACAGATGGTGTATCCCGTCCAGGGTCAGAGTGTGTCCTTGCATCAGTACATGCAGCGGCCGAACACGCAATACATGCAGCAGAGCTGCCAGCCGGTGGTAGTGTCTTCTCAAGGTCCTGCAACATATCTGACACATACGGCCTCAATGCAGGGGCTCACGCAGACACAGACCATGGATGCTAAGGTCAACATGCCAGGCAGGGCTTACCAGGTGAACCCGTTGTACCCCTGCGCCGCTCCCTGCTTCGACAGGTGATGAAACCGGACAGGAAAGTATCGGACCATTTACACTGCACAGGGGAGAGTTTGTAATCATGTGTGCAATTGTGGGATTGCAAACACCATAAAGCAAGCACACTGCTCTTAAATGTTACTTGAATCAAACCACTTCAGCTGCTGAATTCTGAATCCTTTTTAATTTACGTGATTAGGGTGAAAGCTAGATGATTTAAATCACTGTAACGTTCATGAGGTGTGGGGTAATCTGAAATGTGCAATATTCTAATGCTGTTGTGCATTACCCACTGAATGCTGCCTTGTGGTGTTTCATTTGTTGTGATAAGTTTACTCAAGTATTATTATTTATGGCCATCTTTCATAAATGAAGACATCATGGGAGTTCAAAGTAACGCTGTATAAGAAATGAATGTGGTTTTTACTAACACAAGCAAGTGTTATTTTGCTCTACCTCATTGAATGCAGACTATTGTTGTCTCATAACCTTACAAATGCACTTTGGTACAGTGTTTGTTTGTAAATATAAAATAATAATAAAAATGCAGCTAGTTTTGGGTTTGGGTGTTGAAATTGTTGGTTTGTAGCCGTTGGAACATGTTCATGATTAAAATTCACCCTTCTCAGATTCACACAAACATCCACATATGAAGCTGTTTGTTTGTATAATTAATTCTACTTCACCCACCTAGTACACTGTATTGTATTTTTTTTTATTATTGTTTTTTTTGGGGGGAGAAAAATACACACATTTATATGTCATATATTTATATTATTTATATGTTTCAGGTTATGTACAATGATGATGGGACTTTTAATTTGGATTTTTGTGCTTGCAACGTTCACAAAAAATAGGTTACAATTCATGAACATAGTCAATGTTATAAATTGCTGCAGATAATCAGACTGTGATCATTTCTCAATTGGAATATATCTATGTCAGAGGAAATTATTCATTTAGAGCAAGTGATTGCAAGTGTCATTGCCACTCAAAATATGTTACAAAATACATAAACCATGCAACATAAAGAGGAACCAAAATCATAGTTTTCTGGTTAATCTAATGAATCAGTCTCTGACAACATGGCATTTTTGTGTGTGTTTTTCGTTCTAATCCCGCCGCAGCAGCTCCGTTGCTAATTATTATTATTATTATTATTATTATTATTAGTGTGTGTTTCGTTCTAATCCCGCCGCAGCAGCTCCGTTGCTAATTATTATTATTTATTTTATTTTTTTGTGTGTGTTTTTCGTTCTAATCCCGCCGCAGCAGCTCCGTTGCTAATTATTATTATTATTATTTTTTGTGTGTGTTTTTCGTTCTAATCCCGCCGCAGCAGCTCCGTTGCTAATTATTATTATTATTATTATTTGTGTGTGTTTCGTTCTAACCCCGCCGCAGCAGCTCCGCGTGTGTCGTCACATCCGGTGTCAGGAAAGGCTCTAGAATATTACCGTCGCTTCTCGTTCATTCTGCGCTGTGTGTATTTAAGCGCTTCCTGCTGCTGGCGCTCTTTCAGTCTGTCATGACATTACAAAACATATCTGCGTTAACGTTCATGTAAACATAAACCCTGAACCTGTGCTGGACGCGTCCACAGGAGCATCATATTACATATCAACAGGTAAGAAAAAGCAGGCAGGATTTATGACTGACACTCAGCGCTGTCGGTGGGTGTGGGTGCAGAAATGTAGCGGTGTTCAAGCGGACTAATGCCATATATATATATTTAGGACTGACGGAGTATGTGTTTGTGCTCTTATTTAAGGCACAAATTCGTGCACAACAGTAGTGAGGTGTGGTTTATTTGATTTTGAAAGCCTGTCATTGAAAACAAATACACATAGTTTTGCGCTAATAAGAATTAGCTGACATTCCCTCAGGACTGCGTTTAAACACCAACCGTTTTAACGGTCATTTTCGCACATTCCATTTAAAGTCATAGAGACGAGGACATTTAAATCTCACGTGCTTTGCGGTTTAAAATTCGATACAGCGTTACATTTGTTGTTATTTGGTGTATAAAAAACAAAACACTTAAAGTAGTAGTACCCGTTTTTATTGCATCCAGCTATATAGTGTTTGAAAGCTGTTAAGCAATGAATGTTATTGGACACACCTCCCAAAAACTGAACTTTCTAGAGAGATTTCTAGACAATTTTCTTTTTAGGGCGGGACTAACTTGCACGCTTTCATTTTCATCTATTTAAACCGTGGCACCCATTGACAACTGTGACAGCTGTAATAGTATAGGCTACTGGTTAGTGTTGTAACCTAGTAATAACCTAACCTAACCTAACCTAGTAAGCAGACATCAGTCAAGTAATGGTACATGCCAGGTTTGTGAGTTGAGTTAATTTTAGAGTATGTGGTTATAGTATAGTGGTGTGTATATATATAGAGTTTAGTGACGATATAAAATCTGTGAGTAAGATTCATAATATATAATGTAATAAGGTACATCTTAGTACTTCACTTTCTATGGAAGCTATGGTAACAATTTTTTTTACTGAATTGCGAGATATAAACTCAGAATTTTGACTTTTTTCTTAGAATTTTATTTTTTGCAATTCTGAATTTATATTTCGCAATTTTTGACTTTACACAATTCAGAGTTTGCATCTTACAATTTTGACTTTTTTCCTCAAATTCTGAGTTTACATCTTACAATTCTGTTTGTTTTTCGATGCAGAATAAATAATAAATAAGCTAATGTGCAACTTTTTTACTCACAATTCTGACTTTGTTCTTAGAATTTTATATCTTGCAATTCTGAATTTATATTTCGCCATTTTTGACTAGACTTTTTCCTCAAAATTGCAGTATAAACTCAGATGTTTGACACTTTTTCACACAATTCAGAGTTTACATCTTGCGATTCTGTTTGTTTTTGATGCAGAATAAATAATAAATAAGCTAATTGCAACTTTTTGTCTCACAATTCTGACTTTTTTTTCCTTATTTATATTTTTTATTTATATTTTCATCATTAAATCCCTTTTTGTCTATTTTTGCCACCCTGTATGCATTATTTATTATTATTATTATCATCATTATTATTATTTTAGTTTTAGTTATCTTTATTTTTATTGTATTTATTTATTTTTTTGTCTCTTAACTTTAGTTTGAGGTGGTTCTGCTATTTGTTTCTGTTTGTTAATAAGTGAAAATCAATAATAATAATACACAAATTATAATTAGCATCTAGTTACTGCTGCATTAAAGAGTTTGCTTTGGTCTGACAGGTGTGTGTGCGTGAAGCGGTGGAACCTGTAGGTCTTCACCTGTGGAAGAGAGCGGCCATACGGCCCGTCACTCGTCATGCTGTGCTGGGGGAATGCCTCGTACGGGCAGCTGGGTTTAGGTGGGATTGATGAGGAGATAGTGCTGGAGCCGAGGAAATGTGAGTTCTTCGAGGGCAAGCGTGTGAGGGATGTGGGATGCGGCAGACGTCATAGCGTCTTTCTGCTGGAGGACGGGACGGTGTACACCTGCGGCTGCAGTGACCTGGGACAGCTGGGGCATGACAAAGCACGCAAGAAACCAGGTAGGGCAGCAAAGACACTTTACTAGCATTAGAATATTATGGCTTTTATTGTAAGTACTTGATCTTAATTAAATTAATTGATTTGAATGATTCACTTGATTCATGTCATCAATCTGTCATCTATTAAACAATTTTAATAAGGTAATATTAAGGTGGTTCCTCTCTAATACTCCCACTTTTTATGATCTGAACATTTCCTGCTGGATTAAATCATGCCTCGCCCTCAAATGTTTTGTTAATTTTATGTAAAGTGCATTTTTGACAGCATTCCATGTTGACCTAAAAATATTCCCTGAGAATAATATAATATATTGTGAATGATATATTTATTGAATTAGTTTTGTATTTAAGATATAAGTAAAATGTTTAATTTGTCCCATTTTTGTCCTAAATGATGCATTTATTTGATTAAAAATACAGCAAAAATTTGTGAAATATAATATAAAATAGCTATTTGAATATATTTGAAAAACATTTTATGTGAATATAGTGTAAACTGTAATTTATTTCTGTGATGCGCAGCTGTATTTTCAGCATCATTACGCCAGTCTTCAGTGTCACATGATCTTCAGAAATCATTCTAATATGCTGATTTGCTGCTCAAGAAACATTTCTGATTATTATCAATGTTGACAACAGTTGTGCTGCCCAATATTTTTGTGGAAACCGTGATACGTTTTATTTTTCAGGATTCTTTGATGAATAGAAATTCATTTATTTGAAATAGAAATCTTTTGTAACATTATAACTGTCTTTACTGTCACTTTTGATCAATTTAATGCAGCCTTGATGAATAAAAATATTAATTTCTTAAAAAAAATGTCCCTGTTCAAAAACCCTAGGTTATTTTAGGTTATATCAATGAAACAGCCCGTACTTTCACAACATCCTCTGAAATCAATCTGATGGATTTGGCTGCATACTATTGTTTCGCAGAAACGCATACGGGTCGGTCAGTGTGACATTGACTGCTGTTCTAACAACTGTCGGTTCCTTAGACGTCACATGACCTCTAACTCAATGACCTAGAAGTGTCAAGCACAGACCATATGTGACCCTGGACCACAAAACCAGTCATAAGGGTCAATTTTTCGAAATTGGGATTTATGCATCATCTGAAAGCTGAATAAATAAGCTTTCCATTGATGTATGGTTTGTTAGGATAGGACAATATTTGGCCGAGATACAACTATTTGAAAATCTGGAATCTGAGGGTGCAAAAAAATCTAAATATTGAGAAAATCGCCTTTAAAATTGTCCAAATGAAGTTCTTAGCAATGCATATTACTAATCAAAACTTTACTTTCATTTAATCCAAACTGTGTACATATTTAATTTTAAAGGGCTTTTGAAAACCTAGTTATTCAGCGTTATTCTTCAGAAATTCGTAAATTCAGTTATTTTTTTTACCCTAATAAAAGTTATAAGCGCATTAAATAGTTAATAAAGAAACGTCATTCTAATGCTCATTATATTAGCGTTAGCCACGCTTATGCTAACGATTAACTACTCTAATAACAGCGTTCATTTCAATTCGACATCCAAATTAAAATATTGAATAATATTCATAACAGAAGCGGTGTTTCCCCCAGACTTGCACTCTATTTGTGGCGGCATATATATATATGCAAAATCATTCTCTGCCAGCAGGAGGCGCTTAGAGCGTGAGATATTGAAGTTTTCCCGGTAACGCTGTACACAAAGCAGCGCTCCGCTCACAAACGCTGCTCAGGCATTACAGGCAAGATTAAATGAAAATGACATCCATAATTTTCTGAAGACAATCGGTTTCCTTCAGAAATACAGAGATATAAAAACACCCGCACGGGGTTTCGACTTTGACACGTGCAGTGCTCATGTTTATTCAACGAAGTCAAAGCCTTTTGGAAAATCTATTTGTGGCGGTCAGTTTTGATATTGTGGCAGGCCGCCACAAATAAATCAATGTATGGGGAACACTGATCTAAATATGAAAAATTAAAATGAAACTTACCTGCTTGAACTCTTTCATTTGATCTGGGTGTCTTTAAAGTGTTTTGTTAGTTTGGTGTGTTTCCTCGTTTTGATGTTGCCACGTCTCAGTGCTTTTATGAAGAGAGCACATCTGCGCACCTTTCGGATAGCGCATCAAGAACCGGGTTGACTGGGTACTCGGTACCACCGGTACTTAAAAAAACCTGGTACCGTAACGTTTTCATCTTTTTAGTACCGACTTAGTACCGAAGTACTGGGTCTTTTGACAACACTAACTGGTTTTGTGGTCCAGGGTCACATATAATCAACAAGATGGTTTGAAATTGATGGGTCCTTTATTTGCATCACTGTTTCACAAGCCAAAGGATCAAAATGACTAAAAACAGACAACAACATATATTGTAATATAAAATTAACTTTCTATAAGACAAAGGAACATTAAAAACTTTGTATTAATCAAATGAATTTTGCTGTAGCAGATACAGCATATTAGAATATACACAATATATTGGCCAGTGTATCATGTAGTGCATCTATATAATTCACACAACACTGTTATATGTTTACATCCCCTCTCTAGAGCAGGTTGTGTCTCTGGATGCTCAGAACATTGTGGCCGTGTCTTGTGGTGAAGCTCATACTCTGGCTCTAAATGATAAAGGACAAGTTTTTGCATGGGGTCTGGGATCAGACGGGCAGCTCGGCCTTTCAAACATAGAGGATTGTATCCGTATACCCAGGTAAAAATACCTTTAAACCACTATAAGTATTCAATATTACAATATTATTGCCTCTGTGATGGGTTTGTCTGGACTACAAAAAAATAGATATTTTTTCAATGTATTTCAAAATATACAAAAAATGTAATTGCTAAAATATTTTTTATAATTTATTTACATAAATGTATTTTCTACCAATATGACTTTTGTTCAAGTTTATAAAAATATCTTTAAAAATATGTATAAATAATTTTTTTAAAAGCTTTTAAAAATATTTTGCCCTCCATATATTTCATTCTAAAATAATACATTCACATTTGTCATATTTGAAGAGAAAATGTATTTGTTGTCTTTAACATGTGAACTTATTATAACACATTTCAATAAAAATCTGGGGGTTTTTTTACATTTTTAACTAACTTTACATTGTCTAAAAATCTATATTACAGTATATAAAAAAATGTAAATTAAATTTTGTATATTTTTTTTTACATTGATTGATTGATTGATGATTTAATAGTGATTTATTAAAACATTCATTGATGATATTTATATTTTCTTATATTGTGATAAGAAAACATATTTACAAAAATGTACAAAAAATGGCCAAAAACATATTAGTATGAAATATATTTAAAATTGCCGTATGGGTACAAAAAAAAGCATGTAGTCTGTGATCTACGTGCATGGCATAACTGCTGTGTTTTTGTTGTCTCTTCTCAGAACTGTCAAGAGTTTGTCAGAGGTTCACATTGCCCAGGTGGCCTGTGGATATTGGCATTCCCTTGCTTTAGCCAGAGGTGTGATTCTGGATTAAACGTGAAATATTTCTAAACCTGATTATTGTGCCCTCTTTACCCTAATTATGTAATATTATTCCCAAATTCTCACTCAAGGAGGTCAGATATTCTCCTGGGGCCAAAATAAATACGGACAGCTGGGGCTCGGAATGCAGGGAGCCGGCGTCTCCTCCCCACAAGTCGTTCAGTCTTTGCAGGGCGTCCCATTTGCCCAGATATCTGCAGGGGGCTCTCACAGCTTCGGGCTCACGCTGTCTGGGGCCGTTTTCGGCTGGGGGAGTAACAGGTTCGGCCAGCTGGGCCTCAGCGACAATGATGGTAAAACAAACACCTTAGACATTCAGTTGAGCTTTCTCTGGTATAAAGATTTTTATGGTGGGATGCGTGGTGTTCTTCAGATCGCCATTTCCCTGCCTTGCTGAAGACTCTCAGGTCCCAACGGGTTGTTTACATATGCTGTGGAGAGGACCACACGGCGGCACTAACGAAGGTATGGTTGCTTATTTTAAGTGCTTAATAAGCAACAATGTAATTTATTATGACATATTTAATGCTGTACATCCAAAAGAAGGAATGACCATGGACCATCAACTTCAGTGATTATAATAGAAGCGCTGATTCAGTCGCAAATTGAAGAAAAGTTTGTTTTTGAAGGCACTTTGTGACTCTTCTTACTTCATACACAAAAAAATTTGATTTCTCGATGATTTGATATTTTATAATAGTGAATTTATAATTTCAAAATATAAAACAAAAAAGTGGAAATGAATGACTTATAAGCCATTAAGTGCTCCTCTGCTGCCATCTGCTGGTTATAGTGGTAATTTGATGTCTTTTTTTATTTTAATTTTAAATAAGTGTTTGTTTACCACAAAGTATATTTTGGCCATTCCATTAAAAAAAAACATTTAAATTGGATCATTTTTAGAACGTTAAAGTGCTGGAAATAGTTGTATGAAATGTGCAATAATGTCATTGAAAAGTGCTTGAATTTCTCTCACAAATGGTTGTACAAACCCTGAAATGAGTAATATAATAACATTCGACTCTTTCTGCCACAACACCATGGCTATAGTTAGCGTAACTACTTATGGTTTTCTATGTCAGCGCTGTTTGATAGGTATATAAAAGAGAATTCCAAAAGAGAATTTGAATGCTTCTCACTAGATCTCAGAGCCACCTTATTCATTCTGCGGTGAATTCAAACGCTTCTCACTGGATCTCGCAGTGCTGTGCAGTAACAGTGTCGCGAGATCAACATTGGTTCACGAGTAAACCTGTTCTGAGCTCGGGCCGGTTTTCTCGCATTGCGATCTCAAACGAGATTATGCTTTTGTTTCGTATGCCATTTGATGTTTCTCATATGTGACCCTGGACCACAAAAGCAGTCATAATGGTCAATTTTTTGAAGCTGAACAAATAAGCTTTCCATTGATGTATCGTTTGTTAGGATAGGACAATATTTGGCCGAGATACAACTATTTGAAAATCTGGAATCTGAGGGAGCAAAAAAATCCAAATACTGAGAAAATCGATTTTAAAGTTGTCCAAATGAAGTTCTTAGCAATGCATATTACTAGGGATGCACCGATACCACTTTTTCCAGTACTCGCCCGGCACCGATACTTTTATTTTTGGTACTTGCCGATACTGAGTACCGATACTAGGGCTGCACGATAAATCGCATGCGATATTTAATGCGCATCTTGTCAGAAAGCCGGTTCTGTAATCAGCGGTAAATCTCCATCACCTGCGTGCTTTCACATTGAGCATCGCACACATCAGCTATACATGCGTTGATACTGAATGTTTAACATTATATTCATTGCATACATATACTTCGTAGTAGACATCCTGAACTCCTTTCTGCTGTCTGTTGTTCTGTTGTTGGTGTTTCTTTGTTTGAATATGGGGCTTATCACATACTGTGGGGTATTGGCGTTTGGTATCGGGGCATTTTAACGAGTACGAGTGCGAGTACAGGAGCTCAGTATCGTGCATCCCTACATATTACTAATCAAAAATTGAGTTTTAGTATATTTACAGTAGGAAATTTACAAAATATCTTCATGGAACATGATCTTAACTTAATATCATAATGATTTTTGGCATAAAAGAAAAATCAATAATTTTGACCCATACAATGTGTTTTTGGTTATTG